TGAGTCCATCTTACAAAAGTCCTTCAAAATTTGCCCTGAACAAATCGTCACATGACACTAAAAACTGGGCAGACCAAAAACATGTTAGTGCTACAACTTGGAGGTTCTCCGCCGTTCAATAAATGCACACGAGCCAGTCTAATATGACCTATGTGACACCTTAATCTTGTCTGGATGTAAACGGGTAGATGCATATTTTTACCACAACAGGATTTATAAATCTGTGAAATTCTTGGACTGATTCTGAATACGTGGATGTAGGCCTGGGCAATAAAACAGTATCGATATTTATCGACGGTACACCATCATCGATAACGATAGAAAAAAAAATGTTAGATATATCGCACGATAGTTTCACACTTTTTTCATTTAAAGGCATGTGTTATGAGTGACAAGCAGACAGCCAACAGAACACAAACACATGCTGAAATGAGTGTCGTGCCTGTCTGCGATGAGGAGACTGTAAATTAAAAAAAAAAAGGAATTTGGCTATTTATATTAAGTTATGCATAAATGCATATGATGCTGTTTTGTTCACTATTGTTTATGCAATTTACGAAATCATATTTGATTTATAAATATTAGTTTAGGCGTTATGTACTTTTTTATAGACAGCCGGTATTTTCATTGCATTGAATAAACCGTTTAATGAGGTGCATTATTTTGCTCATTGCGCCCTCCTGTGGCCTCAGGAGACAGGACAAATGTTTCCTTAACACTTATTTAATCTGCATATAAAATAAAAGAAAGGAGATACTTGTTTCAATTTTATTTGTTTGTATTAATAAATCGGGAAAATTAAAAATACAGTGGTTAAATTTAAACCTTTTTTTCTACTGCTCTGTTTAAGAAAGGTTATAATAAATGTTCAATTAATTATCGATACCGAACAATATGAAACATATTGTGATAATTTTTTTAGTTCCAACACCCAGCCCTACGTGGATGAGAAACGCAATCAGTATAAGAATATTTTGCATCGTACCTCCTCAGGATCTCTGTAGAAGTACAGATCCGGCATGACCTCCCATGGGTGCTCCCTGGAGATGGTGCCCCTCATCCTCAGCACTTCTCTGGCCAACATCCACCACATCAAACCCACAGAGTGGGGACCCTAAAACACAACATTTAAAAGCTTATAACCAGACAGAACCAACACCACTTGCATGAAGAGTTTAGTTTCTCATTCGTACCTTGTTGTTGCATGGAATGGCAATGTCGACGTATCTCAGAGGGGAGTCGGTGTTGCAGAGGGCAATGGTTGGGATGTTGACGTAAGAGGCTTCAGTTAGTGGCTGATGGTCAGCGCGAGGATCTGTCACGATCAGGAGGCGGGGCTCCCTGAAAGCAGCCTGAATCTGATTGGTGAAGGTTCCGGGAGTGAAACGACCAGCAAAGGTGGTCGCGCCAGTGGCAGAGGCGAACTTGAGCACAGCTCTCTGACAGGAAAGAACAGTGATGTTTAACATAAGTAAAATCACCAGTCAAGTTCACAAAGAGCGTATCCAGTGTAAGTGAAAGAATGAAAGCATTGTGGCTCAGGTTACTATCAAACCCCAGTCATGGGGCAAAACCCTCATGGTGTTAGCGAAATCCCGGCCAAGTCACTCTAGCACACTTCCGACACCCAAACACCGACAGCAGTGCCAGGTTTTAATAATGTGCCTGGTTAAACAGCTCTTTGGATTTTTAATTTTGAGAATTTAAGACAAAAGCTGCTGGCAATGACTAGACATGGAGTGTGTTAATTACCTGGCCAGTGTTTCTGGAGGAGATAACGCAAACATCAGCTGGATTCTCGATGGCAACAATGGCACGAGCAGCCAACAGCAGTTTCTCCCAAGTCTTCTTTAGATTGATGATGTACACTCCTGCAGAAAAGCAAGAGTCAGCAGTTATAGTGGGGGTTCCTAAACCTTTTCTCCCAAACCCCTTTGACAAAATATTTCTTAAAGCACCCCTGAGATTTTAAAGGGAAAGTTCACCCAAAAATTACATTTCTGTCATTAATTACTCGCCCTCATGTCATTCCACACTAGGGCTGCACGATAAATCGCATGCGATATTTAATGCGCATCTAATGCCGAGTTCACACTGCACGATATTAGCCAGATTTTTCACTCGCCGACAGGTTTTGTGAAATCGCCGACAAATGCGGAGGCAAATCGGTGCTCGTTCATGCGAGTGACAATCATGCAGTGTGAATTATCAAAGACGCGATCTGAGGGAATCGCCGACACGTCACCAACACCCGCAAAATATTTGGCATGCTAAATATCTGGAGCTGTCGGCAATTCACAATCACGCAGTGTGCAATGATTTCTGACTGAAAACTACATCGGCGATGACCTACAGCCAATGAGAGACCAAGATACAGGGCAGAGGGAAGTTCGGGGAGGAGTTATAGACCAGAATATCAGTATTTTAATAGATATATGAACAATTATATCATGCAGTCATTGTTGTTACAGTATATGAATTTCATTTTTCAGTTCACTTTAATTCTACTTCCTTAAAGGGATAGTTCACCTAAAAATTTAATTTCTGTCATTAATTACTCACCCTCATGTCATTGCAAACCTTTAAGACCTTTGTTCATCTTCGGAACACAAAAAGATATTTTTGATGAAATCCGAGAGCTTTCTGACCCTGCACAGACAGCAACACAATTGACACGGTCAAGGCCCATAAAGGTATTAAGGACATTGTTAAAATAGTCCATGTGACATCAGTGGTTCAACAGTTATGAAGCTAAGAGAATACTTTGTGTACAAAGAAAAAAAATTACTTTATTCATTTTATACTATGCGTCGTGGTACTCTCAAGTGAACAGAAGAAAAGCTTTACTTGGCACACAAAAAGTATTCTTGCAGGAACAAAGGTCTTACTGGTTTGGAACGACATGAGGGGGAGTAATTAATTACATTTTTGGGTGAACTATCCCTTTAAGTAACTCTTCCCATAAATTACCACAGGCTTTATTAGATAGATAGATGGATAGATAGATATAGATATAGATATATATATATTTATTAGATAACGCTCAAACCACCTGCAGTTCCCTCACAAACCATTGTAAGTTACAGTAACCTACAAAGATTGATAAAGCCCCAAAAAGGCATGTCGCAGCCATATCACCCTAATCCGCACTTTTTTACCGTCACTCTTTCTCTTGTAGACGTACTGCTCCATCTGGAAGTCCAGGTTGGTTCCTCCCAGATGGGTTCCTGCTGCCAGGAACTTCAGCACACTGCAAGTGACGTCGCTAGCGGAAGCGCAAGTGTCTGAGAGTGCAAGTGCAAGGCTGCAGCCAGACCCTTTTGGTCAAATCAGAGATTATAGTTAAGTAAAACTAAAACCATAAAATGTTGTTACTTTAAATAAAACAAACATTCACTGAAATATAATGAAAAAACTTAAGATATTTTATTGCCAAACAACATTAATTTAGTGTGGCTTGATATACTAAAACTAACCCAAAAATTATTTAAACTTCATATACATATTTAAATAATAATAATAATAATAAATGAAAAAAAAAAAAGATTTACTAAAACTTATACTAAAATTAAAATGGAAGATAAAAAAGAATTCAAAATATTAAAAAATATATAATAGTATCTCAATTGAACTAAAATAGCACTGTACCAGTAGGCAATGTTAACAAACACATACATAAATAAAATGAAAAAAAAAAAAAAAACTGTAAAATTGGAAATATTGCATTTTAAATAAGAAAGCTTATTACATAATTCCATGCATTGTCTTATGTATTGTTCATTTTGACCATGTGAAATCCATCAAATAGCAGTACAAGTCTAATGTCTGCATTCTGGTTTATGCTGGACATTGTTATGATATCATTATTATTTCCTTGAGGAGCTGGTTTCTGATAACTACTGTATGATTGAGCTTTTTTTTTTTTTTTTTTTGAGTACATTTCTCATTTTGCAGTTAGGTAAATAAAATCTGACAGAAGTCTGTGTTATAATTACTGCTCCCTGTTTGACATGTGTCACTGCAGTGCTTCAGTCCCCCTAGGTGTCCTCATACCTGACCCCTTTTACACTGTCTGGCTGCATGTCTGGGGACTCTGAGCTGTCAGGGTTTATACCATCAGCAGCACCCAGCAGAGCACAGAACAACAGAGAAGCAAGACCATTTTGTGCCATGTTAACAGTATGCCATTATCTTGTTTTTCACAAAAAAAAAAAAAAAAAAAAAAAAGATCAATGATTTTCACTTCACTAGTGTGATAAAACTCAATGACAAATGCTAAAAATGTAGTGTAGGTTACAAAACCAGCTGCACAAAACAACCCTTCACAACCATTTATAAAACAGGGCAGATTTATTCACATATTAACATAGGCACGACATTTGCATGTGCAAATATTCTCACATACAGACAAAACATCAACAATAATGGCCATAAGAAATGCTGAAGAGACGATACTGATTGTGTGAAGGCAAAAGAGTATCTCCACAGTACAGCACAAAGCACAGTGGCTTACATAGCAACATGTGACCAACACACACCACTCAGATTCAGTTTGAATGCAGTCAACTTCACTGAATTTAAAGTGCTTTCACAAACTATATGCATGTAGTGTGCAGTGTGACCGAAACTTATGTACCCTCTTAACTGATATAAAACTAGTGTATCACTTGGCTCTGCATGTCTTCCCAACTTCATACTATGGGCATTCAACTGCATTCTGCAGCAGATAATCTTGCTGTGTCAGGAAGAAGCCAATCTAATTTTAATCAAGGCAATTTAAAACAAATTGTTAACGGAATTGAATTTAGCAAACTAAATTAAATTATAATTACTTGAGTATATCAAATTTAAATGATCAAAGTCATTTGACGTATATGGTAATAATGATTCCTGTAGTACAATCCAAACATTTAAGTCCTATGGGATCCACACTGACCAGTGCACATACAGTACAAACCCTCAAAGTATATGAAGAGGCAAATGGCAAAGTACTATCACCGAAATTATATTTAGCTTAAATAAATCAAAATCTATTTCAGATCCATTAAGATTTTTGCAATGTGACATTATTTACAAGACAATTAAGCATATTTAGCCTAAATTCACATTATTGTAATGCATCCCTGAATTTTATTTGAATTTTTCTCCCATTATTAAAGATTTTATAGTACAAATTACGGTAATTTGCTGATTTAAAAAAACATTACAGGCAGTACGACAAAGACTACCGTGGTGGAATGAACTGGCTACCTAACTGGAATGAAAATAATGTCACAATGCCAAAAATCCTAATAGTTCTCATAAGCTTTATTTTATCTACGAATTTTAAGGGTGAACAACCACCCAGACATGTTTTTGGCAGACTTCCTAAAATTCCCCCTATGGGTCATGTAGAATTAACATTACACTGTTGTGTTCACACTGAGCACCACACTTTGGCGTCTTACAGTGGTTTTACACACAACGTCAACACGACAAAACGTCAGTCAAAATGATCCGACAACACATTTGCAAATACGATACATGAAGTATTGTAAATTCTCACCGATACATTCCACGTCAAATATTGTTTTCTCAGGAACTATAACACTTGTTCTCCCCTGGTTCTCCCAATGTTTCTCCAGGTCTTACAAAGTCTCATTCAATCCAAATCCTGGCTTTGTCTGTGCCCAGGAGCGAGCGTTCAAAGAAAATAAAAAACCCAGTGTATTGGAATGCACGGATAAACCCGTCCAGTCACACAGCACAGGAAATCAGTAGAACAGCACAATCATCACATAGAGACGCGCAATTATAGTCAGAATGGAGTATGTTGGTGAGACAGTCATGTGTTGTCAGTTCAGTTTCTCAGCCCTGGAGTAATTCGTTCTGATTGTCGGAGCGCTGGAGTAATATGTTAACATGTCTTTGTAAGACCAGTCTTAAACACCCACTAAGCCTCATCCTTGACTAAAAAGGATTTAACTCAGAGGACCATACTTAAGAACTATCTCAGACATTGGAGTCCACGGACTCGTGGGTTTCTGAGAACACTGCAAAGGTGGGCACTTTTCAATGACACTGAGACATGTGGTATTCAAAGGTTAGTTGTCAAAGGGGGGATTTTCTTCCTGTGAAAGTAGTGTTTTCTTGTGAGCTGACAGCACATGATTCAGCAGTCTCTCATTGGTATTCTTCAGTGCGGACCCCTGTCTCAATATGCAGGCGTCAACAAGGCATACAAACTCACAATGTGGCAATTTAGGAATGTCACTGTCAGAGGTGTCACGGGGTAACGACTCACTGCACCTGAAAACACTAACACACAAAGACAACCCTACGATTACCGGTACCTCAGCCAACACTAGCTGCTTTTGTTTTGATCAAGCCTTCAAGGATAATAGAACGCCATCTTTTCACCGTCGTCTGAAAAGCACACACTCCTGTAACGGACACAAACAGAATGAAGTCCACACATAAAGTGCGTCGGGTGTCTTTAGGACTTCAGTCCCATGCGTGCCATCAGCTGCTCGTACACAGTCCAGGCCATGGCCGCCATGAGGGTTCTCCTCAGAGAACGAGGAACCGCTCCTCGAAAGAACCCACTCAAGCCATGCTTCTAAAATTGGAGAGAGAAAAAATAAGAATTAAAATGATGCAACTGACTTTAAAAAGACTTTAATCTACTGACAAACCCATGACTTAAAAAATTGACACACAGTATGGAGTGCACACATAAATGTGCCAGGCGTGTTTAAAAACAGATTTTTAGAAAATACAAAACAACGTTCAGAATTTAATTTCTGTAATGTGACAGTCAAGTTTGAAACCGAAAATTCAGATGAAAATGATGTTGGGTGGGACTTAATTTGATCTGTGAGCATTTGACTAGATAATGAAAAGCGGAAACATGAAAGGATATGATATTATAAGTTCATATTATCTTTCGGGTACATCCTCAGAAGTCACATTAGATGTAGAAATATATATATTTATATAAAAAAAAGCTTATGCCAACAAACATTTTCTTTAAGAATATAATATATTTTGCACAAGGCAAGGAACATTTATTAAGAAAATAAATATGATACACTACAGTACAGTAAAATACACCAATTAGGTAATATTATGAAATAATATTACAGTTTAAAATAACTATTTTCTGTGTTAATATATTTTAAAATGTAATTAATTCCTGTGGGCAAAGCTGAATTTTCAGCATCACTATTCCAGCCTTCAGTGTCATACAATCAATCTAATATGCTTATTTGATGCTTAATTTCTTATAAACATTTCATTTAACTATCAATATTATTATAATGGTTTTAACTATTTTTGTGGAAACTGTGATAATTTTTTTTTCAGGATTCTTTGAAAGTTAAAAACAGAATTTATTTGAAACAGATTTTTTACTATCTATACGATATACAGGCTTTACTGTTACTTTTAACGCTCAGTTATTCAGGCAGTCTCTCTCTCTCTCTCACGTGCGCTGTTTAGGCATGTTTTGTGCCATTGATCGTCATCGTCATCCTCAATAAATAAAACATTTATTCAGGCTAGGGTGTCGGTGGTGAATCCAGTGGAGAGAACTCCCCCACAACTAACTGAGCACATGACAGAGTAAGCCCCCATCTCTCTCCTCTCAAACACAATGCCCACAAATCTCTCTTTAACCCCCTCCCACCCAACAACAAGAGATTCAACGGCTTAATCCACAAGCTTCCATGCTTGCCGATCTCAGCGCTGGTTTTCCGCACTCCTTATCGCACATCCGTGGTTTCAGTCCCTGTTTCGTTTGTGTTCCAGATCAAGTGCTTTCAGCACACCGTGAGTCATGCAGTTGGAGAAGGCATATGTATATGTGCATGAGCGTGTGCTTGTGTGGATGTGACACAGTAAAAGTGGGTCATACATTGATTGGATGCATATATCCTATTATTCCAACATAGGTTCAGCCGGGTTGCACAACAAAGAAAAACAATGATTTTCGGATCTTCATATGCCTTTTACACATAAAAATGGATTTGTGCTGGGCAAAACAGTGTCGTCAAAACATTTTCACACTCCCTCAGACTTCTATTATAAATAAGACATGAAAAAAATGAAATATGATTGCTTTTCTCTGCTAGTGATAGACTGAAATTCAAAAAAATTCACACATTTAAGCTGATATTAATGTTTTGCAGTCAATCGGCATTGCAGAATATATTAGAATAGCATGACATTGAACTACTTAACCTGACTGGCCTGCTGAATCAACTTTAAGGTTATTTCAATAGACTTTTTAATAGCCGATCAGGTTAAGTTGTTTAATGTCAGGCTATTCTATTATATCCATCTTTTGGTTATTCAGCATTTCACATTTAACTTCAGTAGAACAGCTCTACATTAAAGCACACAGCCTTAGCACCAACTCACCAGGGCAATCTCCATTGCAGATGGAGAGGATGATGAAGTTTCTACAGAGGAAGAGCTCAACTCCCTCCCTTTTACCTCTTCTGTGGCCGTTGTGATGTGTTTTAGACGTCAAAGCTTTGATTCCAGACTGCATGAGGGAGAAATTAATTTAATACCCAACCCACTGCTACCATCACACACAACCAAGCACACAATCAAGAAAAAAATAATCGTGTATTAAAGCTTTGGGGGGAAAATCAGAGTGTGTCTGACAGATTTAAGTTACATTTGATGTTTACCTGTCTGTTAAGGACCGAAGAGGAAGAGTGAATGAGAACTGATCTTCATCATGATTCTCGCTCTTTCTGTCACTTTACACACAGCTGTCAACAGTACACACACAGCGCCGACAAATTTAGAAACAGAAACCACCATTTAATTAATAAAATATGACATAAGCATGTAGAAATGTGCAGCAAATTACAGAATTGTCAAATAAAAATAAACCATTAAAGCACATCTTAGTAAAAGCTAATGCTAATTTCTATAGCCCAGCATACTTCGTTTCAAATATCCTGCAGCGGCTAACTTACCAACTGCTCCTATACAGTTTTCTTCGTAAAATACAAAGCTGACAATAAACACACGGGAAAATATTGGAAATAAGGTGGCGCAACACACGTCAGCTGATTTCTGTCAGTTAGCCGGTAAAGCTAAGTCACCTCTCAATCCATCATAAACCATAAACTTTACCTTACACACAGTTGTTCCGTTTTCCGGTATCTCTAAAAGATTGCGTATTTTCGTTTCAAGCAATCAATGTTTATTGAAGTAGAGGTGAAACAGCAGGCGTACGTTACACAACAGTTGTCAATAACACATTCCTGCTCGGAGACCGTGAGCACAGCACATAGTTTGGAGTTACGCTTGCGCGAGAAAGTTGTACGTTGTTTGCGTAACTCATGCGTATTCTTTGCGCGGTCTGCACAACGGGCAAGAACCGGTTTTATCTCGATTATTCCAGCGGTGCAGGTTAAACATGCTCAGGGGAGAGACGCTTAAAATTGTCCTCCAAGACATATTAATAGAGACTGGACTTTATTACTGGCATTGGTCATTGACTGATGAAAAACCCACCAAGAGCCTAACTCAGAAGCTAATTTAAAATACAGTAAATTTATCACAGAGACAGCTTACACAAGCAACCCCTCCACCTAAAGTGTTAACTTCAAAACATCAAGGAACCAAAAAAAAACAACTTAGTTTGCAGTAATATGTGGTGTACAAATCCTGAGAACTCTCAAATACATTAACAATATTTGACGCGATTAAGGCATAGTCTTAATTTTAAAACAGGAGTAGAAGAGGTGGAAAGGTGCCAGTGAAACTATTAGGAAAAAGGCTTAATTGGTGCTGAAGTGCTCTTGAAACAAAACTAAGAATAATCTCTTTGGCTGATCAGTAATATTCCTGCAAAATCCTGGATTAGATACTATTATTGCATAAGGAAACTTCTTTCCAATATCAATTACAAAAAATTTCCCAACATTTAATTTACTTTGAAAATGGATAAATACTTTGTCTCTGATGTAAAATATAAATAGCCAATATTTATTCAAATGCATCGTAAGGCAGTCATCAACAGTGTAAAACAGATTACGGCAAATAAACGGTTTCAGTTTCACTGGAAAGAAAGTTTGATAAGTGGCAAGATGAAAGATTTTTCTTTGCCATTATTTTTTATTATTATTATTTTTTTTTATCTTTGACGCAAAGTTATGCTCGTGACTCGAATAATTGTTTGGCTCAAAATCTGCTTTAAAACACTGAAAATTGCAGCGAAAACCCCATTAAGGATACAGTTGCCCTCAAAGCATACAAATTTCATTTAAACCAGACAAACTTGGTGGCAAATAATAGATCCTCATCTGTAACACCCATAGGCTCAGCTTTGATATGCTGAAATTTACTCCGGAGTTGGCTCTGACCCCTCACTCTTCAGATCGTTCTCCTCATCACTATCCACACCCGAGCGTCCAGCTGTACGACGTACATTTACAGTGAAATCTCCACGCCTAGAGAAGATAAACATAACACTAAATATGTAGCATACAAATTTGCTGAAAAGTTTCAGACTTTTGTCAGTAATTGTCAGGAATGATGATATGTCTATCACAAAATAGCAGAGTACGCACCGGAGTTTGTTCTTTAGGGTGCTGACCTCTCGGTTCATAAGACTAGCAGATTCTGTGGCATCTTCCAGCTCTCTCTGCAGCTTCCTGCGGGAGGAGTTAGCTCGAGCCGCTTCCTCCTCAGTCTCTTCTAGCTGTCTCTTCAACTGCTTCATACGAGTGTTCAGCTTCTCAGTCTGACCAAGAGGAAGATTTCATTATGAATGGAATTAAAAATACTGATACTTACTTTTTTTTTTTTTTAGATGTCCACCATCAAGAGTAAAACTTTAACTAGTAATAATGTTCCTATTTAATAGTCACAACAACAAAACAGGCCTTTTAATTTAAATTTAAATTAGCTGTACTGGTACAAGTGGACCAAATCACCTTTGATTGAGAACATACAAAGATCAAATTAAGACTCTGCCTTGGCTTTGCAGTGGTTTGAACAAGCTTACTGTATTATAAATTGATTGCACAGCCTACCTCATTTTTGTATTGCTCAGCATTGCGTCTCTCATCATCAACCTGCAGTAAGATCTCTTTGAGCTTCTTCTCCATACGCCGCACCTGTTTTGTGGACTGCTGCCTCTCCCTGACAGGAAGTAAATGAAGTTTGGTTTTTAGAGACATAGTAAATCACTGAGGAAAGCTGCATCATGTTAAGATACTAATAATAAAGACCTTACAACCCAAGCTGACAACTGAAAGGTTACTGGGGGATTTGAGGTGTAATTATGCTGTATATAACACAAACCATCTCTAACATCACTCACTTCATCTCAACATCCAACTGCTCTTCGAGCTGTGGGATCTTGGCTTCCAAGGCAGTGATGGTGGACTTGTACTTGCTCTTCACAGTTGCCTCCAAATCCTGAAGCTTCTGCTTTAGGTCCTTGTTCTGGCGGTCCAGCTGAGCGCGCAAACCCTCTAGACGCTGACTGTTACCCCGCTCTGCAGTCACCTCCACTGTAACCTGCTCAGCCTGACGTTGAACCAGAATAAAGCAACAGAGTCACGATGAACACGGTTCCTGTTCTGTTTGAAGTGTTCCCAATCTCAGCCGTCATCTCATGAAGCTCTCGGTACTCTACCTGCAGTGTAGCTTTCTTCAGTCGATCATTGACCAGTTCCACATTGAGATGTTCTTCCTCAAGTTCCTCCTCAAGCTGAGCAATACGTGCCTCCAGTCTCCTCTTCTCGTCGCTGCTCAGCGAGCTGATGGAGAAAAAGAATACACTATTTAAACCATTGAACCCAGTAAGATACCTAATACACTTCGATTTTCTTGGACTAACTAGGCGCGTTTCCATTACCCTTCAAATTGCGAATTGAAAATACGCCTAATGGAAACGCGTCAATTTCGCAAAAACTCCCATTACGGTCACTGAAGCTGATTGCGGCCACTCAATGCTTGTGTTTATGTTTTTATACAGGCTATGGTTTATTCCAGCCGCGCCACGCATGTTTCTGAAGCGGCTCTCTTTGCTGCTTCTGAAGATACACGCATAAGCCTCCTTTGATAAATAATAGCCAAAATCCGTCAAAATCCCACTAAAATCCGTTGCCATGACTTATCGCGAGAGGCAAAAGGTTACGTTTTAGTCGCATAACATTGGTTAATGGAAACGTCGTCATTTCGCAATACTTTTTTATCGACATTTATAAAATATCGCCAAAGTTTTGCGCAAATCTGTAATGGAAACGCGCCTACTGTCTGATGCAGGATACCCTACCAAACAATACATCACAATAACAACAGGTAACTCACTTCTTGGCATTCTGGCTATTGATCTCATCCTGCAGCTCATCTCGTTCTTGTTGAATTTGTCTCTTTGCTCGATCAGCAGCAGCCAGATCCTACAGAGACAAAAATAGGAAACGTTTACCACATCCGTATTCTTTTAAAAATGGCTTTATTCTTCTAAACTAACAAACAATCAAGTTGACCCTAGTTGCAGCACAATTCTGATCAAACAAGACAAACCTCATGCAGCTGCATGATCTCAGCCTCCATGCTCTTGATCTTGCGCTCGTTTTCTTTGGCCTGGTTAAGAGCCTCGTCTCTGGATAGGCGTAGATCCTCAAACTCTCTCATCTGATCTTTCATCTGGGCCTGCAAACCAAGAGAGGAAATGACATGGATACCATATTGAAACCATATTGCATGTGCTCCAATTGTCATTTTATTCTAAATGCAAAAGTACAGATCTGATTTCTGGTTCTTGAAACCAGAAAATGTCCCCACCACTTTAATACAAAAGTGATGCATGCTCATGTAGAATGTGTATATGTGAATACCTGTAGTTTCTTGAGCTGTCTGAGGGCCTCATCTCGAGCCTTGTTGGCATTGTCGATCTGAGCAGCCAACTCCGACAGATCCAGCTCAAGCTTCTTGCGCACAGATACGGCCTGAGCCCGTTGTTTCCTCTCATCCTCAAGCTCCATCTCAATCTCACGCACCTGACATATTCAAGCATAATATGAGTAGTTGTGCATTATCTCCCAGTTTCCCAACATGCATCATCATCTCATGGATTAACATTGCTCTGGAGAAGTCAGGCAGGCTAGCACATACCTGTTTGACTAGCTGCTTCCGTTTCTCCTCACCCTGCTCATCTCTGCTCTGCAGGTCTCTCTCAAACTGGGCCTTAATGGCCTGCATGTTGACCTCCAGGCGCAGTTTGGCATCTTCTGTGAGCTGCAGTTCATCCTCCAGCTCTTCCAGCTGCGTCTTCATTTCCACTAACTGCTGTTCCATTCCTCGCTTGGCCCGCTCAAGTTCATGCACCTTAAAAGAAAAGAATGAAAGATTGTGCACAACTAAGATAAGGGGTAAGTATAAATCATGACCACCACTTTTAGCAAACTGCACCATGACTGCCAAATCACACTGGATAGTCATTTTTTTAATCAGTTGATCCTAATGAAATCTTACCACATGCCAAAAGCATTCTGCTTTACCACAATGAGCAAGACCTTCAGAGATTGTACATTTTTGGCATCTTCTGTGAGCTGCAGTTCATCCTCCAGCTCTTCCAGCTGCGTCTTCATTTCCACTAACTGCTGTTCCATTCCTCGCTTGGCCCGCTCAAGTTCATGCACCTTAAAAGAAAAGAATGAAAGATTGTGCACAACTAAGATAAGGGGTAAGTATAAATCATGACCACCACTTTTAGCAAACTGCACCATAACTGCCAAATCACACTGGATAGTCATATTTTTTTAATCAATTGATCCTAATGAAATCTTACCACATGCCAAAAGCATTCTGCTTTACCACAATGAGCAAGACCTTCAGAGATTGTACATTTTCTATTAATGACTTCACAACTGATCAAATTCACTTACAAAATCCTTAATGAATTAATTACATCTTTAGAAATTAATAGATGTTTTGGCAATGGCATGTAGACAATATTAGCTCGGTTCCAAAACAGTTAGCATGTTGTAAGGATAATTGCTGTCTAGGTTGGCAGCTTATTAGGTTTTGGAACAGAGCTGTTGTCTTAAAATACATGTAATGCTTAAGTTTCGCATACACTCTTGCCAGCATCATCTTTGGATGACATCAGGTCCTCCATCTCAGTTTTGAGCTGCTTGTTGACCCTCTCCAGTTCGTCCTTCAAGTCAGTAATGGCCTCCAACTCTCGAGTCAGAGTCAGGGCTCTGGTCTCTTTCTCACGGGCCTCTGCCTCAGCACGATCCCTCTCCTCTGCATACTTCTGAGAGATGTTCTTCTCCTCTGCCAGGATCTGCACAGATTGAGGTATTTTATCACTTAAGGTGATTGAATGATAAATTATTTTTTAAACTTTGTAGAAAAAACCCCAGAGAAGTAGCATTCAAAATATACACAATTTTTTCCATTAACAGTTCTCTACCTGGTCAAACTTCTTCTGTTTACGTTCCAGCTCCTGAACGGTTTGCCGCAGGTGAGACTGGTCTACCAGGACATCATCTAGCTCCCGCTGCAGACGTGTCTTGGTCTTCTCCAGTTTATCGTAGCCAGCATTCCTCTCCTCCAACTGCTGCATGATGCTTTCCACCTCCCTCTGCAATTTCTTTTTCCCGTCCTCCATGCTTTCCAGGCTCTGGGCCTCTTGCTCAACCTTTTTCTTCATGTCTGCGAACTGAGAAACAAAAGCAAAAACAATAAGAACAGTTCTTTCAAACACAAACTGCTTCTAGATTAGCATCATCTAGAAGAATGGGTCCACAGACTCAGGGGTGCACACACCTGAGCTTGAGCCGTGTGCAGCTGCTTTTCAACATTTTTCTTGCTCTCCTCTTCCTCCTCCAGCATCTCTTTCAGGTTGTTCTGCTCATCCTCCAGTTGCCGAATACGAGTGGAGAGCTCAAGCTTCTGCCTGGTCTCCTCCTCCAATAACGCCTATCCACAGAGAAAATATATAAACTAACTTTTGAAAAATGGAATAAAGTTTTATTTTTATCAGCAACACTGGTAAAACACATCTGTGAAAGTTCACCATTCATGTTAGGGCAAGCAGGACTAATAACACTTCTGACCAACAGTCACTCAGCAACCTTCAGTGACAAAAGGGTGTGTGAATTGTGCACAATAGTGCATGACCAAATTGTACCTGTGTGTCTTTAAGTTGAGATTCAACAGTAGAACAATCTTTTGCAGCTTTGATGGATTTGCTCTCCACCTTGCTCAGGGTGCCCTGTATAGATTCGAGCTCCACCTAAACATTGACACAAAATTATAAGATTTTCAACTAGGCACAAAAAAATTTGCAATTATCCAAGTGTATCAAAATGTAAAAATCTCTACAAGATCCTTTTAGTTTCAATACCTGCATTTTTGACACTTTATCCGCCAGTTCCTGTTTCTGTCGCTCACTCTCTCCATGTTTGACCTGTAGCTCCTGAAGCTGCGATTCTGCTTTCTTTCTGCGGTGCTCGGATTCATTTTTGCCTTGTGACAATGACTGAAGTTCGATCTGAAGTTCATTGCGTTCACTCTCCAGAGCCTGTTTAGCTTTGTCCACAGATGCTTTACTCTGAGGGATCCAACAGTGAAAGTTAGTCAACATTTTTCTGCAGAGTTTGCTTTTGTGGATGTAAAGAAAATCCAGACTTCTCAGGGAAACACCACCTTAAAATAAACTGGTCAAATATGAAAAAAACACAGTTGTCATCTTTTTCTAAAAAGGGCTAAGAGTGCTTAATACATACAATATGCAACATTGCTACATTTTAATTATAGTGCCACCTTTTTAAAAATCGCTTTAAAAAAAAAAACTGCCATTTCTAATTTTCAAAGCAGCATCATTAACAGCCTCGATGGTTTAGGAGAAGCACGTGATCTCACCCTTTTGGCCTGCTCAAGCTGTTCATTGAGCTCCTCAAAGGCCTGGTTGTGTTTCTGTCGCACTTCAACTAGCATCTGTTCATGTGAACGAGCCTCATCTTCCAGAGTCTTCTTCAGCTGAGCCACGTCAGTCTCTCTCTTTGCCCTTCAGATAGGAAGAGAAGAATCTTGAAGCTGATATAGGACAGCGCAGTAGTACCTTCATTTTCCCATAAGAATGACATGCTACCCTTGCACAATTTCAATCACAGATAATCCAACTGTAATTACCAGTCATAAGTTAAACACAAAAGTACAGATTATTTGATGAAGCAAAATATCTCAAGTCAGGTCTTCACTAGCCCAGTCAGTTTTCCTCATGGCTGACCTGAGTTCCTGCTGAGCTGCAGTAGAGTCCAGTGTGTCCTCAAGTTCTGTCTTTAGAGCCTCCAGTTCTTCTCCCAGGTCCCTGCGGTGTTTCTCAGCTTTAGCACGAGCAGCTTTCTCCAGCTCCAGATCTTCCTGCAGCTCTGAGATCTGGGCCTCCAACTCACGAATGTTCTTCTGGGCAGCATTCTTAAGTGCAGCTTCCTCCTCAATCCTACAGTGGGGGGAAAAAAATAACAAAAATGTACCAAGAAATGAAAAACGTGTTCGGGATAGTGTTAGGCCTAAATGACAAATATGGAAGTGATAGACAGATGAAATGGAAGTTAAATCCTCCAGTAACCTCTGATAGGTTTTTTTGTTACAAGTTTTACTCGCCTTGCTAGTGCAGCCTGGAGCTCTTCCTCTTTCTTGGCCAGTTGAGCACGGAGCTCTGCGATCTGAGCCTGCAGCTCTGCAATCTGATCATGCAGCTCTGTAGAGTCACCCTCCAACTTCCGTCTACTCTTCTCCAACTCTTGCCTCTGCTTCTCTTCCTTCCTTAAACGATCTAAGAGTGGACATTTAACATGTCAAAGACTGAAAAAAAAGCAAAAACTGAGATGGAGAAAAGAGAACACTGCAACCAGGGGCGCGGGAAAATGTTTTCGGTTGGGGGTGCTGTGTGTGTCCGTGTTGGGTGAAGGGGGGTTGGTTCACTTACGTCGGTGCTGGGGCTGGTGTTGTTTGAATGCCGATTTTGGAAAGTTTTTGCTGGGATGGGCATTTTAAAAAATCTGATATTCGCTTTTGCGCCACTATCTCCTTGTATTAAAGTTAATCTTGTTCGCATTCTGTACAGTTCATGTCTGATACCACGCGCTAGCGTAATGTGTTCATGAGGATTAGGCTAATCATCCCATACAGAAAACATCACAAGTAAAATTAATCATGTTAATAAAGATAAACATGGGTTTATTATAGCTCACTTACAATTTACATGTCAGAGATCATTACAAATACATTATTAAATGCTAAAACTGAATAAATTTAAATGAACAAACTTGGCGTTGCATTTGCAACCATGTGAAAACAGGGGGTGCTGCAGCCCCCCCAGCACCCCTACTTCCCGCATCCCTGACTGCAACATAACTCTTTGTTGCTGCAAATAGAGTTTTTTTTTCCCCCAATCAGCATTCTTGGGCTGACTTTAGAGAGAAAAAAAAAATGTTTAAAAAAATTATTTCAAGGTCCTGAAAACGCTTACCCTCCAGGTCGGTAATCATGGCTTCATGTTTGTTCTTGAGTTTCTGCAAACTCTTGGATTTCTCTTCCTCTTCAGCCAGGTTAGTGGTGAACTCAGACATTCTCTCCTCCAGCTGCTTTTTCTCCTGCAAGCACAGATGCCAACACACAACTATCAGGACAAGCACAAAATAGTTTTTGCAGCAGATAAATGGACACCTCATGCAGTCCCTGCAGGTGGGTTGGAGTAATGGCTGACTTTATGGAAATCGAGAAATGGTTCTTTTTTTTAAGAAAAGTCACTCATCTCAGCTGTAGTTAAACTCATTTTTGGGTAACAATTTTAGTTGTAGTGAAATACTAATACAGCATTTGTTGCGTGTAGCATTGAATTAATTGTCAGGAGCCATTATCATATAGTGAATATAAAAGCATAACACGTTTGTTAGACCTTGTTAAGTTTGGTGTTTTGGTCATCAAGAACCATAATTTCCTCCTCAATCTTCTTCAGCTTGAATTTGTCATTGTCAAACAGTCCTGTTCAATTAACACCTTACAGACATCTGTTGTCCAAGACATTTCAAAATCACTTATAAAGTTGGCAGCTTATCGGTATCGGCCAGAATTTTAATATTGGTGCATCCCTAAAAACAAGCAGCTAAAGTCATTAACACTTCAGTCTCTCCTAGCTGTAGTGTGATGGAAAAGAGATCTTTACAAAATTAAATATTTAAAAATATCTACCTCCTAGCAACATAGCCTCTACACCAGGCTTGGAAAGTGATAATGACATCAGTGATCTTCAGATCTCTCTCCTCTTCCAGGTGGGCAAGAACTCCAGCCCTGAAGAACACTTTACTCTGACCTATACGGTACAAGTTAGAATCCAGCTCCAGGGCTTTGATCTGAGAGAGAGAGAGAGAGAGAGAGAGAGAGAGAGAGAGAGAGAGAGAAACAAAATTATAAATGCGATCAACAACTTAAATTTTCAACAAAAATTATCAATTGTCAAAGCTGAGGAGTTTCATAACGGTGTGCATTAACTCTTACCATGCGGACACAGGCCTGCTTTCCATCCATAAAGCCCTTGGGGATGGCATTTGGAGTGAGGATCTCATATCTAAAATTATATTAGGGGAGAATAAATTAGAGACTATCTTAGTTTCAGTAGTCTATACAGTAGTAGTTTTTCTTTTTTGACATTTCAGCATCCAAGGCTATCTTCATGGCAAAAACAGAGTTGGAATAATATATAAACACAAAATTAAAAACAAGCAAACAAAAATACAGCAGTTAAAATTCAAGATTTTTTTAATTAACGCATGAATCTAAAATCTTTACAGGTAAAAATCTTACTAAACAAGTCCCTGAAGTGAGCATACTTCATAAAAAAAAAAAGTTTTCTACTTGCATTAAAACCGGAATTGTCCAATAAAATATTTAAGAAGTCTATAGATACTAAATAGTCAAACCGAAGCAATTCTATTTCCTGCTACATGATATATAAGCAGTTCAAATACTTAGCATTCATGAAAATCCAAATACCTTTGTCTGAACTCCTGGAAGACAATGCGGTTTGGAAACCCTTGTCTACAGATCCGAATTCCTTCTAGAACTCCATTACACCTTAGTTGATCTAGAACCAGATGGTGTGCCAATTTACCAGCCTAGAGGTGAAAAGCAATGACTTAAATTGTTAGAGGCCTCAAAAGAAACATGAGCCATCAGGCTGTACAAACGTTTTGAAGATTTTTCTCTTCATACCTTCTTCTCATGATTGGGGATGATGCATCTGACAAAGTTAGGGTTGGTGTTTCTGAGAGTGGTCATCAGATTTGTCAGCTGCTCCTTGTACAGTTGTCCTACGGTCCGGAACATTCCTTTACGAGTCTTGACGGCTCCATGCAAGGATTCAGCCATTCCGGCCACTTTGTCCAATCCCACAATTCTGTCCACTGATGAAAACAATGAAAAACAACACCCATTATGCAGGAAACCAATATAAGAGTTAAGACAACTTTTCATGTTTATCTGTGGAGTCTTTTAGTGTCCAGGGTGAACATTAGCAGACCACCTGCATATTACACACTGGCAGAGCCAGACTCACTTTTCTCCAAGATGACCTAAAAGCCTGACAAACAAAAGCTCAATGTAGCAGGTGGATTGTCGTCAAAGCTTGTTAGACATTAGTGACATCCGAAATCATACTCAAATTATATACCAATTATATATGAAATCATACTCCAATTATACAATTAATACCAACCATTAAATCAATCTACTGGCTAATAATCTACCCAAAGTGTCATACCATCCTTCCAGAGCTCAGACACAAACTTGTCCGATGATTGGTTGAGTAGAGTAGCCACATTGTCATTCAGAGGGTCCATGTTTTTCATTAGCCATTCATTTGCCTTGTAATCGACCTGTACAAGACCAGACAGACACATACACTTTTAAAAAAATAACATCCAATAAGGTATTTCCTCTTAAGCCCCATTTGTTTTTAGTTTTATATGGGGAGGTGAGAGAAATGTAATGTTCTAGAACATGTACAGTCATGGCCAAAAGTTTTGGCAGTGACATAAATTGTGTTTTGCAAAGTTTGCTGCTTAAGCTGTTGTGGTGTTCATTCACATTGTTTCTAGATTATTGTGTAGAGTGATCAGATGCATTTTAAATAATTGCTAAAAGTTTCATTGGCCAAAAAAAACAAAGTTCACTGTTTTTTTGATGCGGACACAAAATGACCAGCTAACATTAATTGACTTATATCAGCAGCACATGTGAAAGTGTGAATGAGTACTAGTCAGGTAAAACACTATCATACTAATTAGGTTGTAAGAGCAGACTGATTGCTATAAAAAGAGGGAAGAAGCGCTTCCAATCATTGTGTTCTTATTAGCAATGGTTACCTCCAAAGAAACACGTGCAGCCATCATCGCTTTGCATCAAAATGGCCTCACATGCAAGGAAATTGCTACAAAGAATATTGCACCTGAAAGAACCATTTACCGGATCATCAAGAACTTCAAGGAGAGAGGTTCGACTGCAGTGAAGTCTTCAGGACGTCCCAGAGAGCAAGCGCCAGGACGTCTCCTCCGGAGGAGTCAGCTACGGAATCCTGTCACCACCAGTGCAGAGCTTGCTCAGGAATGGTAGCAGGTTGGTGTGAGAGCATCTGCACGCACAGTGAGGCCAAGACTTTTGGACAACGGCCTGGAGTCAAGAAGGGCAGCAAAGAAGCCACTTCTCTCAAAGAAAAACGTCAAGGACAGACTGAAATTCTGCAGGAAGTACAAGGATTGGACAGCAGAAGACTGGTGCAAAGTTATTTTCTCTGATGAAGCTCCCTTCCGACTGTTTGGGACATCTGGAAAAACGTTTGTTCGGAGAAGAAAAGGTGAACGCTACCATGAGTCCTGTGACGTGCCAACAGTGAAGCATCCCGAGACCATCCATGTGTGGGGTTGCTTTTCAAACAAGGGAGTGGGCCCTCTCATAATTCTGCCCAAAAGCACTGCCATGAATAAAGAACAGTATCAAAACGTCCTGCAAGAGTGGCTTCTTACAACGATCCATGAGCAATTTGGTGATGATCCGTGCACTTTCCAGCATGATGGAGCACCATGTCACAAAGCAAGAGTGATAAAGAAGTGGCTCGAAGATTACACTGAAATTTTGGATCCGTAGCCAGGCAACTCCCCGGATCTCAGTCCCATAGAGAACCTGTGGTCAGTCCTCAAAAGGCGAGTGGACAAGCAGAAGCCCACAAATTGTGATCAACTCCGAGAACTAAGGCAAGAATGGATTGCCATCAGTCAGGATTTGGCCCAGAAGCTAATATCCAGCATGCCAGAGCGAATTGCAGAGGTTATGAAGAACAAAGGTCAACACTGTAAATATTGACTCATTATATATTTTTGCCAATAAAAGCCTTTAAAACTTATGATATGCTTATCATTGTTTTTCAATATACCATAGAAACATGTGGAAAAATAATCTACAAATACTGAAGCAGCAAACTTTGCAAAACAAAATTTGTCACTGCCAAAACTTTTGGCCATGACTGTAAGTGTTAATTTATTTTTATACTGAACACTATAACATTGTGATGCAACATTGCTTATCCAGTATGACTTCATGGTACAAACATCCACAGTATCAATTACTTTACAAACATATGAGAAACTAATCTTGTTCAAATAATGTTTAAGACCCATAATGGCTCTTACTTTGCCAGCGTAGTGAATGATACAGAAGTCAGCATCATCTTTGAGCTTCTTGGGTTTCTGGAATTTTGAGTTGCTGCTCAATTCCTGAACAACTTTCTCCACAAAGGATTTGTCTGTGGCTTTCGGGAACCAGCACTCCTCATCCAACAGAGCCAGAATTCCTGGAGGACCAGCCCGGG